AAGGACCGTGCGTTAAGAATGCCCTCACACTCAGAGCGGCCAGGGTGGACACAACTCCCATTTATCGGCAGCAGCTCATCCCTGCAGGAGATGACGCACCTGCAGGAAGAGGTTGTTCAAGATATCGCATGTTCTCAGCATCAGCTCCTGGAGAACTCACAAGATGGAGCGAGCAGGTCAGCTGTGGTGTTGAAAAGTCTTAAAGTGTCTTTGCTTTGTCTCTTTCAAGGGGAAGCAAACATGCCAAACATGCATGGGAGAATTAGATGTCTTTGCATTGTTTCTTCAGCATAGTGAGCTCAAATTTCCATGGTCTGGAGCTAACAATAAAGGTGCAAAAAACCATCTAAAAGAGACCCAAAAATAATAATAATAATCAACTTATGTGAAAGAAAAATGAAAAAGAAGGAGAAAAGAAAAACAGAAGTTTCTATTTTCAGGTCCCAGAGTGCAGCTCTGGGACTGCAGCTCAAGACTAAGAGGACGCTGGATTCAGCCATATCCCGATGTCCACGAGGCTGTTGGCCTGGAGCCTGGCGTCAAGGGATCAGCTAGAAGCTCTGCCCAAGGAAGCTCCTCATCAGGCAACTCCTGTGATCTGAGTCTTCATGGGCCTGGCTCCATTCACCCGAGGAGAACCAGGGTCAGAGTCCAGGAACTGGTTACTCTTAGGAAATCCCTGGCTCCAGCTCTGGCCCTCCCTAGGGCCCCAAGACTCAGGGGTCCTGCTCAGGAGAGGCAACACCATATAGTAAGTACAGGGTCTGCAGGCTTCAGGGAGCAAGCAAAATTCAGCCAGAGACAAAGAAACACTTTGGGGTTGGAAAACTGGGAGGAGACATGCTGATCTCATACAGGACCCACAGAGCTTCAGCTCATGGTGTACAATGAGCACCACGCAGAGATGAAGTTATATGAGATAACCAGGCCTGGAACAGTTTGAGGGAGAAAATCAGACAGGCTACCAGCCACCCAGTCAGGCCATTGAAGAACCACGTCCAGGCTTTTTCAGGGCACCAGGTGGTCCAGGGTGGGCGAGCCAAGGCATGACAATGGTGTGAAGGAAGAGAGTGGGTTTGGGGCTTATCAGAGGGTTAGCCAATTGCATAACTTCTGGACCAAAGTACACAGAAAATAATCAGGGACAGAAGAACTAGAAAACCCAATTATTAAGATCAACCCTAAAGCCCAGCCCAGTGGCACAGTCAGTAGCAAATTGAACCGCAGTGCAGAAAGCCACATGGCCGGTCACAGGTTCAGATCCCTGGGTCCGCCTGAAAGCATACTTAGAGTGCAAGTGTATGCCCCAGATCACGAAAAGCCAGAGGACTGGGGAGAGGGGATCACAGTGTGGCAATACCCTGCCAAGGCTGTTTCTCCTCTCTCTTCCCCCATCTCTACGCACACATATGCACTATTATGAGAAATATAAACACTTTAAATAAATCCTAGAGGACGTTTAACAAAATACATTAAAAATCTTCAAGAGATGGGCTGGCCCCATAGCCTGGTGTTAAGGCAGCCGGATCTCACATGGCCAACGTCATAATCCAAATTGTGGACCCAGGAGCTTGAAAAATACATGGGGTGTGTGTGCATGCTGGAAGTCCCATCAAGACGGAGAAATGGAGACAGGACTGCAGCACAGCCATGCCCCACCGGGAAGCGCTTGTTCTATCTTTCTCTGGTGAATGTACATGCCCCCGGCAAACTTCAAAACAAAATCTTGAAAAAGTGAACAAACAATAGATGAGTAATTCAGTTTCTAGGATTTTTGCCCACCAGAAAATGATAATCAGACATACAGATATGAAGAAATAAAGAAAAGTATTCATTGTAATACTGCTCGTAATAACTAAAAATTGGGGGGAGACTTAAACATCACTCCTTAGAAAGTGGCTGATGCTCTTGTGGAAGCCCTGGCAGTAGGCAGGGAGACGGACCACGGCATGAACCACTCACGGGCACTGTGTGCCTGAGGCCACCTGGAGGAAACACGCGTGTATCATGCATGGCCCACCGCGCTCAAGCTGGACTGCACGCGCTCTGCAGTGGGGCCGCCCAGTCCAGCACTCTCCCTGGGAAAATGCTCGCCCATGCAGCAGTGGGCACCCGTCAGGACCTCCACAGCAGCAGGGTTGCCTGCAGGGAAAACTGAAAACGCCAAGTGTCCAAGCAGGAATATGGTTAAATACAAGGCCATATCATCTAAAATAGCTTACCATACAGTAACAAAAAGTTTTGGCCAATTTATCTTTTTTTAGAATTTTCTTGGGACCAGCAGTTAGCATAATGGTTATGTCGCTGAACTCTCGTGTTGTCAACTACGGTTCAAGTCCCAGACCCGGTGGCTTAAACTCACGCTGGGTGCATGTGCATGCATGCCCAAGATTCTGAGAGGAGAATGGAGGAGAAGGGATTGCAGCATGGCCATCTCCTCTGGGAAGGGGGGGGGTGATCTCTCGCTTTCTGGCTCTCTGTTTCTGTCTTTCTGTCGAGCACACGTGCCCTAGCAAAAAAAAAAAAAAAAAAAAAAAAAAAACCCCCCCCCCAAAAAAGAATTTTTTCCTCCCCCCCAAAAAAGAATTATTTTACTTAATCTTACTTATTATTATTAATTTACTATAGGGCACGAGAGCTCACCAGAGAGAGACAGAGAAAGAAAGAAGGCAGGAAAGTGAGAAAAGTAAGTCGCCAGGTCCTGGACTTGATCCACAGTCGACCATGTAGGAGTCCAGCACCTTGACCACCACACCATCTGCTGGCCCCCCTAAACACATCTATATACATCAACTGGGCCAAAAATTGTCCAGCATAAGTAAATAGCAGATTAGGGACAGCCAGTGGCATGCAGGTTAAGGCACTGGATCTCGTATGGCTGACTGAACTGTTCAAGTCCCAGACCCATCAGTTTGAAAAACACACTGGACACATGTGTATGTATGCCCCAAATCCTGAGAGGAGACTGGAAGATAAGGGGTTGCAGCATGGCCAACTCCCCACCCCAAGGAGAGATTTCTCACTTTCTCTTTGTATCTCTCCCTTTCTCCTTTTCCATCTGTCTTTGGCAAGCACACACACCCGATAGCAAAACTAAAATAAGTAACTAAATAAATCAATAGCAGATTATGTCAACATCAATAAATCTCAGAGTGCAAACAATCTTTTGAGTGCAAACAAAAGAAAGTTCCAAAATGTATGTAAATTTGGAAAACAACACAAAGCTCTATACCCGTAAGTGCAATGTTGTAGGCCCCACCTCTGGTGCCAACAGTTGCACAGCAGACTACAGAGCTGGGAGCCACAGCTGATGGCAGCTGGAGTCTGCGACACACATGGGGTCCTGGCAAGCTGGAGGACTGGAGGAAGGAGTTACAGCGTAGAGAGCTCTTTCTCTCTCTCTCTGCCTCATGCTTGTATGTGTAAGTCCATTCCAAGAGAATGAATGAGATCAGAGGTGTAAAACACGGGTAGGAATGCTGCTCCTTGGCTTTAGAGAAGTGGTCAGTGAGGGAGGGGTACAAGAGCCATCTACTCGTGGGTCGGGAACCAGCAGTTAGCTTAATGGTTATGTCGCTGGACTCCCACGTAGTCAACCGCAGTTCGCATCCCGGACCCGGTGGCTTAGAACTCATGCCAGGCGCATGTGCATGCATGCCCAAGATCCCGAGAGGAGAATGGAGGAGAAGGGATAGCGGCATGACCATCCCCCCTGGGGGGTGATTTCTTGCTTTCTGTCTCTATGTATCTCTCTGTCTATCTGGCGAGCGCACGTGCCCTATAGTGAAAACCTCTCAAAAAAAAAAAAAGAGCCATCTACTTGTGGGAACCAGCAGTTAGTGTAATGGCTATGTCGCTGGACTCCCACGTAGTCAACCGCAGTTCGCATCCTGGACCCGGTGGCTTAGAACTCATGCCAGGCGCATGTGCATGCATGCCCAAGATCCCGAGAGGAGAATGGAGAAGGGATTGCGGCGTGGCCATCCCCCCTGGAGGGGGTGATTTCTCGCTTTCTGTCTCTATGTCTCTCTCTGTCTGTCTGGTGAGCACACATGCCCTATAGCGAAAGCCTCCCCCCCCCCAAAAAAAAGAGCCATCTACTCATTTATTTCCTTATTTTTGTAATTTGCCAGAGGGTGCATGCACTTGCCAGAGACAGAGGGGAGGGGAGAAAGCACACTGCAATCCCTTCTCCATCTCTTTCTCCTTTTGGGATCTCGGGCACACATACGCCATGCCTGGTGTGTTTTTCAAGCTGCAGGGGTGGGACTTCAACTTGCAGTTGGCAATGTGACATTTGACCCTTTTGACCATCAAACCATAGAGCCTACCCTTAAAATTTTATCTCAGGGGCGAGCACGTGGCACGGTGATTAAGCCACTAGACTCCCACATGGCCAACTACGGTTCAAATCCCGGATCTGGCAGCTTGCTTTCTCACTTTTCCTCATTCCCTCTCTGTCTCTCTCTCTCTCCAGTTAAATTTAAAATAATAATAATAGAGATCAGCAGTTGGCGTAATGGCTATGTCACTGGACTCCCATGTAATCGACCATGGTTCAAGTTCTGGACCCGGTGGCTTAAACTCACGCTAGGGGCGTGTACATGCGTGCCCAAGATCCCCAGAGGAAAATGGAGGAGAAGTGATTGTGGCATGATCATTCCCCCTGGGGGGGTGATTTCTTACTTCCTGTTTCTCTGTCTCTCTCTGTCTTTCAGGCAAGCACACATACCCTATAGCAAAAAAACCTCTCCCCCCCAAAAAAAAAGACAAAAATTTAAAATACTAATAATATTAATTAATTAAATTCAATTAAATGATTCTTTAAAATGTTTATCTCATAAAATATTTAATAACGTCCATTATATGGCTCTTATCAAAAAGTCAACAGATAGTCAATGCTGGTGAGGGTGTGGAGTCAAGGGAACACGTAGATCGTTGGTGGGAAAGTGACTGGGTGCAGCCATTGTGGAAACAGTCTGGAGGGTCTTACATAAACTAAAACTAGGACTACCACTCGATCTAGCAAGCTGTCCGGAGACGAAGTCACTTCATGAAGTTCGTTACCTACCCTCCCATTACTCACAGCAGCCAAGATACAGAAACAACTGAAGCGTCTACCAGTGGACGAATGGATAAAGAAACTGTGGTACACACACCCACACTGGCATATTAATCAGCTCGCACAAGGAGATTGTGCCACTTGCTACCCATGATGAACCTAGAGGACATCACGCCAGACACAGAAAAACGTTCATGATCTCTCTCCTGTGTGGAAGCTAAGAAGGAAAAGGAAAAAAGAGGAGTGACCTGGGCAGACACAGAGAATTAAACAGCGGCTACCAG